AATTACATGAAGTATTCTATTAATATGCATCTTAAACGTTACGAATTAGCGTTAAAATATTTGTCTAAAGATTCAACTAACAATAAGTTTGAGGAATGATTAAATTTGATACGTAGTCATAAATTATACCAGGCGGCAATAAAATTGTTTGAGAAGAATACTATAGAGTATAAAAAGGTGGCTGAAGTTTATGGAGAATTTTTGTCAAGTGAAGGAAAATATGTGGAAGCTGGTTTTATAGAAGTGGCGATCTTGACAAAAAGTTGTAGAAACATTTAGAATGTTAAATGATAATTGGGAGGATATAATCGCAATATCAAAAGAGATGAAACTACGGTAAAGATATACAATTTTTTTTCGTATATGCATGAAAGAATATTATCCTATCATCGTTAGAATTAATTACATATGCTTCTATACACATAAGAATTAATTTTTTCAGCCCAGCAAATTCATACAAACTTCATAAGACACTGGTTGAACGTTTGAAAGCAGAGCGGAAATATAAACATGCAGCTATAGTATTAAAAGAATATCTAAATGATGCTGAAGAAGCAGTTGCGCTATTATATGAGGGGAGATTTTGGAAATATGCAATACGATCGTGTTTATTTTTCTAAGATATATATATATATATATATATATATACCTTTTTTTAAAAGAAATTAATCTTTCTTAACTATATAGATAAAAAAGATAGTAGAAATAGAGTTTATGCTTTCTTTAAAGCAGAAAATAATTGGTACATTGAAAAGTTTACATAAATACAAAGTATAATAATAGCATATAATTGAAGTAAAGCCCTTTGCACAATAGGCGATAGTGACAACGATAAAATTGCCGACAAAGCTATACCTTTGTTGGCAACTTTGTCGCTGTCACTATCAGACTATTATAGGACAGGTTGCCGTTATATTGTATTATTACTGTAATTTCATGTACTTTTACGTCATTACGCATGATCATGTACGTCTATATCATGTCAGTATGATAGACACTCTAACCACGCAACTATTAATTTTAGTACTTAATAATTTTTTATCTAATTGAGAACGACAATTTTAACTTATAGATTTATTCATGTTTTACGCACCAAAATACACAAAATTAAAATTTTAGCCAAATCGGTGAGGAAGCTTCTATCCTTAAGAAAAGTATAAAATAAAAAAAAATTTTTTAATAGAACCGACTTCAAAAAGCTCTAAAAAATAAAAAATATAGAACTTTTATATATTTTTTTAAATTCTTTCTTATTTTTTACAGTTCTTTTGAAGTCAGTTCTATCTTTCTTTCAGTTTTTGAGCAATTTTTAAAATTTTAATTGTTTTTTGCATTTTTTAAAATAGATTTATATATCAATTGCTATGTGACATAACAGTCACGTGTAAAATTTAATTTTATGGTAAAAAATTAAATATAATTTATTTTTAACCGACTTCAATATGGATGGGTTCATAACAACTTAATTTTGACAAATATTTAGATATTAAAGACGAAGGAACACGAATGTAAAGAGATCACGCCAGCAGAAACTCCATCGTTCTTCAATACAGCGGACAAAATGCTAAATCTAATGCATGTGACGTTAAAAGAAGCAAAATACATTATGACTATAGTGATGGATCTCAATGTTATATCGCTCGCGCTTCAAATTATTTGTTTAGCAGGTACATTTTATTATATTTCTCATTTTACTTATAAAATATAATGATGCAATTATAATTAAATTTTGTGAATTGAATGAATATAGGTAACATTTTATCAAGGATGCTATTAGGCGGAAGAGCGGAGAGAAACAAATATCTGTTGTTACATGCTTTTAAATTTGAAAGATTACATAACGCTGGATAAGAAAATTGAAAAGAAGGGGCGAGGCGATGGTGAGATCTCAATATATTTTTATATACTGTTTTTATATTACGAAATTATTATGTGTACTGGGTGTGCTAATTTTAGATATATGTTAGATGGCCCGCGTAGGAAAGCTGCGGGGTATGCTGAAGGTCTCGTGTTTGATCCGAAGAAAGGTTTCTACGACAAAGGTTTCTACTGTTAAGGTTTATTGGTCATATGAAGTTTGCACACGTCAAGCTTGACATCCTAAAGACATCCTACACAATGCATTCTGAAAACGATACCGTGCAAGTTCGTTGGCGTATACGTGGTGTCATCACAGGCTGGAAAATATTTTCTGTGTTTTGGAAGTAAAATTTGTAAAATACAACATGTCATAAAATAAGCGCTAACCAGGAAATGTAAGTGTAATCAGTGTTCTAAACATTCCTTTTAAAAGTAATATAAAATTGTTCTTATAAACATTAATTATATAATTAATTCAAGTTGTCTATTATTTGAAAAGAACTTGATTTTTAGTTTTGTTTTGTATTCTACCTTCAGAAAAAAATAAAATAATTTAGATTTCCTAAAATTAATTTTGTTTATGCTATCGGAGAGGAAACACTTATTATAAAATTGATTATAATACCGAGACAATTATATATAACGATTTCAGATGGTACGACGGCTTTTTTATTTTTTACGTTAATGCTGAATGGAAAAGTCTATAAGCATATTGCGGACAAGATGATGCCTAATCAGGATACAGCCACGAAAAAGAAAGATATGCGCATGGCAGGGAAATTAGCGCTATTCACAGGCCTTGTAAACATATTTAGTAACAACGAAGATTCTTTGAATTGAGCTCTGTCTTAAAATCGCATCAATTGAAGTGAATCCATTGCTGAGTGCTGAAATTATACGATTTTATCCGTCACAACGAATAGACCAAGAGGAATGATTTTTCCAGTCGATGGTTTCGAATGTTGCTGACATATCTATTTCGTTGCAAATGCATCATTATGAAATGATGATCGGTAGTAAATGAAAGATATGTGAATTAAAAAGATGTGTACATTA